CCAGACGCTGTAGAAACAGACCATCAAAGCCTATCTGTGCGAAAAGGGACGCCTGTTCTCGACTGTGACCAAAGGGGTCGATCTGCCACCCGATCTTTGGTATACCACACGTGCCAAACGTGTCCTGAAGACGTCGGTGACCCCATGTCATCTGATCCACAATGGACTGGTAGTGTGCGGCCGCCTCATCATTCATACACCAGCCACCGTTTATGAACTCCAATTGACCTGGAGTATAATTTAATATGTATATATATAACGATTTAATACATATTACACGAAGTTAAAAATAATATATACATTCATTTAAGGTATGTCTAATGCACTTATCCTATTCAATTTTGTTAGATTAATAAAATGACTTAAACGGTTTGTAATATTCTTATCCATACTATATATATAATTTATAATCAACACGTTTTGATCTGATCTGATGACTATAATATTAAAATATTTGATTCATAGTGTTTATTACAGACAATATTTATAGCAGATATAATATTTTCAAATTGTAAAAAATCATACCATCGTTGACCAACTTCTTGACTTTCTCCTGAAGCTCGGGTGTCTGTAATACCCACCACTTCCAGAAGAATGCCGTTTCAACGTATATGAACTTTCGGGTCTCATTCCTCAACAGTGAGTGAACCACGGAATCGATGATATACTGAACGCCTGCCTTTTGAATGTTAGTTCGCGAGCCATAGAAGTATTGGTCGACAGTCTTGAGCCATCCGACGTCATCGTGAGTGTGTGGCACCAGATGTACGTTCAACATCTTGGGGTCCACTTGCGGACAGTGACTGTTGTCACACTTTGACGGCTCCAGTGCGGAGGGCCGGCAGAGAACTACCGCTCCCATCGCTAATAAAGCCAACACTGTCCAGGGTAAACTAAATGCCATCATAACTTTCAATGATTTAAGTTTTCTATTAAATCAAAGTTTATATACTTTTGTAAGGAATTCCAAAACATTTGTTTTCTACAATTTACTGATAAAATGTGACATTAATTGACAAAACTATCAAATATTTGTCACTCACTATCAAGAATACAAATAAAAGGTAAGAGAATTGCTCCTTTTTATAAAAATAAATAGGCCAGGCCCATATTTGTTCCAAATTGAGTACATTCATAAAACATTACCAGGGTATATTGGAATTAATGATTTGAAAATATTGTACCCTGATTCTATCATAAATTTTAAATAATTTTTACATTTTGTTAATATTTCATTATTTATTAACTTTTAGTTAAAAATATGTTAATTAATAATCAATGTAAATTAGAGTAATGAGAGTAAATGAATGTAACAAAGTATAGAATTAGAAATAAAAAATTTATTTTACAAAATTAGTATAGAGTATTGTTAAACCACTTTCTATATCCGATAATGTATTTATGGTATACTTGTACTTTAATGAAGAGTTAATCTTTTACTTAAAGATTATTAAATGCTTATGTTATGTGAACACAGTATTAGCAGTTTGTGACAGGTAGTAGATGTAAATAGTTGACTTTATTTCGTTGATTCACTATCATATTATTTAATGTGTACTAGTGCACTTAGTATACATGTTTTAAATTGACAGAAACGAATATGTAATATCAAACAAATATTCTCACTTTTTAAAAACATCAAACATTTATTCAGAATTATCTGAATTTTACTCTTAATTCATATTAAGTAAAACAAATGAATAAAGTAAGAGTTATTACTTATAACAAATGCACTTTCATTTTAAACACAGTATAATAATCTACAATTTATAGATATACAATATTTTTATTTAATTATTAATTTTTTATCGGTTGTGAACAGTGATAATAAAAGTCCTGATTTCCATTGGGTTGAGAGTGACTGAGAGGTCGTCCGCAGAGAACTCCACTCTTTTCGGTTCAAAACGATTCGTTTCGGCGTTTGATTTGAA